TAATAAATAAAATTACTTTTTACTTCACAAATATTTTCTTTCCCTTCTTTTTTCCGATATTACGATTAAGAATGTGATAGTCGGATTTTATTTCAATTCTTCCAAAGTTTTTACAGCAACAACATTTCAAATTTATGACACTCTTGTTTTATTAAAAAATCCCAAGCTTGACTCCTTCAACAAACATTCTATTACATTTTCTTTTGACGGGAAAATTAATAGAACACAGAAATTGTTAAATATTTTTTTGAAAGACACTGCAACTATGTAATTAAATTTTCTTAACTTCTAAAAAATAGAATAAATTAAACTCACTTGGAAGTGCTATAAATTTTGGTAATCGATTATTATTGGTCAACGAAAAAGCGTGATCTGTGTGTGCATATAGAGAAATGGAAAAACATTAATAACACTGCTATAATTACAAAAGACGTCAGCAAAGATTTTTTAATAGTTTTCTATAGCTTCCAAAAATACCATCCGTCTTCGAATTTGGTTATAAAAAATTATACATTCAAATTACTACCCTTCTCAACTACCAAAAGATTCACGATTTATCGTCCCTCCCATTAAAAACGATTTTTAATGCGTAACCGGTGTCCTGTCAATTTTTTGGCACAAATTTCACAATTACTAAAAAAAACTTAAATGTATGTTTATGTCAAGTGTTTTTGCTAAAATAACCTTGATAATCAATTCATATTTTCTTTAAAAGACTGTTACAAAGTACGTATTTTTGTAAAGTACAAGTTTAACAATAAGAATATATGCTGAATGATCCCAGAAAATCATTTTTTGGGGATAAAACAAAAATAGGTTATAACTAATTTATACTCTACTGTAGATTTTGGAAGGGTTTTGACGTTTCAAAGCATTTTAAACAGAGATAGTAAATTCAAATTCTACAAATGTTAATATAAATACCACTGGAGTTTTTTTTTGTTAGCAACTGGAATGAGCAAGTGGTGGTTTTTAATTTTGGCAAAAATTATACGAGACTAACTCAAACTCTGTAGTTTGTATTGGTTTGAGTCCGTAAATATTCAAAACACATGAATGAATGAATCTGAACGCCAAAGTTGACAAAAAATTTAAGCTTTTATGTTATGCAAAAAAGTTACAACTTTATAAAAACTCTTTAAGAAATATCAAACGATTACTCTATAATATGTGTCATTTTATTCCACAATCTGCAATAACAGAAGCCGTTATCGTTAAAGCAAGCTTAGAATATGGAATAGCTCGCATTTTAAATTATTCGAAAGGAATTTTTATGTGGAATACAAAAGCTGATACTCGCAGCATTTGCTTAACAAAGCCAAAATTTAAGATAGATGGGGCTTAAAATGTTACAAGTGATTATACCCACATAATTTATAAATGTATGGTATAAATTATTATACCACGTAATCTCAGAACGAGAAGAGTTAAAAAATAAGAAGATTATTTTTGGATCCTATTAACCCAACATAACCTACAATAACCGCCGGAAGCCTATCAATCAAGAGATCTGACAAGTTTACTCAAGTGAAGTTTTAAGCGAACATATCAGTTTCAGGTGTTTCTTGAACCAAACTACCACAAAACTACTATTAAACTTAAAATTTGTAAGAGAAACACCAATAAAAAAAAAATAAAAAAATAAATCAAGAGTCACAATAACTTAATTTATACTATCGTGCCAAAAAATATAAATAAGAACCATCCGTATGCATATTTTTAGCAAAACTTCAGTAAATATGCAGACAATTTGCTAAAATTTCCATTCACTAAAATTTCAGCTGTCGCCTTTATGCTGCAGTTTAATTGTTCCAGGAGGTTAGAACTTGGAAGATTTCCATCTAATCTAATTTATTTTGCAAAAACAACTTTCATCGCCGCTTATTTTTCTAGGTTGCAATTTCACTAAGTTACACAATCGTGTGCACAAATGTGTAAAAATAAATAGCGGTAGTTACGCCAGTTTACCATCCCCTTAAGGAGGAAGCAAATAACCGGTCTCCCGTTTTGTATAATATTAATTGGAAACTGCAAGCGTTTTGCGCGGAGCAATAATTTGTTCACTTTGAAATACAATTTCAGGATTTAAAAAATGTGGGACACACCTCTCCTACCAAGTTTAACGACCTCTGAGAAGTCTACTATCAGTCTGCAGCAGTCGGCAACTTTCAATTCAATAAGTCATAGCCCAGAAACGTGACGCAAGGCAGGTGCGTGTAACGATAAATGGAAGGTGTGTCCTCAAACCATGACCTCGGACTTTCCGCAACAATGTATGAAAATTGTGCAATAAATGAGAAACAATTTTAGCAACGATTTGACGGCATCGCACAATTCTTCCGCTTCTGGACTTGTGTAAAGAAGGCTTTTTCAGCAAGATCAATACCAAGGACGGCGGCAGCGCGATTACCAAGCGTTCTTCGGGTGTTAAGTTTTAATTGCCCTTATCAAACTTGATTAGGTTTTGACGAAGTAAATAGATTTCGACAATCGATTTGTACCAATAACTGACGAAATTATTTTTAGGAACTTCTCCAGGATGTGATAGGTGGAAAATAAGCTTATTAAAACGGTTGCACTATCTCCATATGCGTCAATGGACGAAACATAAAAAGTTCGATAAAACATTTACTTCTGGCACTCTGCCATCCCCATTTCATAACACGCACGGGGAACACTGACCCAATCCGTTTCGAGAGTTTCGTTAACGAAATTGTCAAGGACGATTATTTACACTTTTTGTTAATTGCACCGTTTATTAATAACTAAATTCGATTACGTACAATCTAATCGCAGAAAATGGCAATTCACTTAACAAAGCGTCTGAATTTACTCGGGAAGTAATTCAAAATAATAATTTGTTTAGTCATTACGTAAACATTGCAGGTAAACATCTGTTTGAGTAACTGACTTGGCTCTTTATTTTTAAATTTGGTATTTTCGGTTCAACTTGGTGACATTGAATACTATTTTCGATACATGTTGCATGTTTATACAAACTAATATTTGCTTCGTTACACAACCCGAACTAATACCATTTGCTCCACGGGGGTTTCAAAGTGCATGAAAATATCAACAATAAAATAAAATTGTAAAACTTTACCAGTTGTTATTTTAAAATGTACATTTACAAATAGGCCCGAATATGTTTTACCTTCTAGTTTGTCTCTTCTGACATGACGAAGTACATCCTAAGAGGAAAAGAAGTCTGAATAACTTGTAATGCTGTTGGGGTATTTCGGTCTTATTCCTACTTATTCCTATTTATAACAGGTCTCTGATGCAGTTGTCACACATACATAGAACGAGCCCATTTGCCAGAGTTACAAAACAGCTGCGCGGTAAATAAATTCCGTATCTAATTTTCCGAGTATACAAGAAACATAAAAATGTAGTTTTGTTTACATTTTACTTTTCCAAATCATGATCTAGAACAATTAATACTTGGTGAAGCCAAACAGTATGTACTCGTAACATTAAAAAACACTGAAAATTTCCGTTTCTTAAGTATTACAATGAAATAAGACGCCAAAATTTGACGATAAAATAACACTACAGTTCTTTTAATGATTATGAAACAGGCGAAACGTAAACCGTTATTTACTACTGCACCAAAAAACATTGCATGTCCATTAATTTTTTCCTGGTGTAATTATATTTACTTTATTGTGAGATTGCTACTAGGGTTAATGCACTTAAGTGCAGCATTTCCAATTCGGGAAAGATTAACATTTTGGATATACATAAACGAATATTTCATCTAAGACGTAATCCTCTCAATTTTTTTATTTATCATATATCAGAACAATATTATCAGAATACCCAATGTCAAAAAAACTATTATTCTTAAACTTTTTGTATTTTTTCTCTCTTTGGCAGAATAAAATAAAATTGCCCGTATATCAAAGAACACTACATAAAATCTCAATTTTTGTTTTATAAATATAAATAGTGTGTTTATAAACCAATCATAAAGAAGGTCCTCAAATTGGTGCTAGATGAGCAAGCTGTCTCCAGCTACAAATCCAGCGCCAACTTGAAGACGATTTTTGATCGCCCATTATAACCATTAAACCTGGAATTATTTCAGACATAAAAACTATAACGTTCAATTCAATAGTCATTCTGTCAGCAATCAGAAATTGAACGTGAAATTGTCAATTCCGTATTATAGGTCTATTTTCACGTACTGCATAATTTTTTCAGAATAGCATATATATCACTTTGAAGACATATTTAATATCTTGCATGAAGTAGTCACGTTAAGACTTATCGATAGATTAAAATCTAAGAACATCCATCAATAACTTCTTAATCACTCTACATCAGTGTATTTCTCAACAAAAATATAACTGCCAAAGTTCTTCGGAACTTAGGAAGTGGTTACGCAACGTTTCGCTTCTATGCCGACCCGAGGTGTCTGTTTTCTTTACTTTACAGAAACATTACGGTTCGTCTAGTATTAACATTACTCCTTCAACTCAGTCTCGCAATTCTATCCATCAAAATCGTATCCGACATGTTCAACCCAAATAGTTACCCACAAAATGAAAGACAACTAAATTATAACGCATAACATTTGCCTGTCGTTCTAATTGCTGCTTAGCAAATAAATTGACGTTTTAAAACTTTCAATTTGTTTATTTTACAAAGCTGTCGTTCAATTACGACACATAAATAAATTTTTAAAAAAGACATGAAAGCCTTCCGTTCGCTATAGCTTTTCGTGACATTAAGGTGAAGACCCTCACAAACTAGGCTCGAACGACGGCAAACTTGCTCCTTAAAATTCAAATGAAATGACTTATTCGTGCGGTCGTTACGTGTAGCTTCTTGGAGCTATTATAGACAACCAGTTTTACATCAAACTGTTTATCTAATATTTTTATCATACTTACCTTATTATTGCACAAACATATGAATACATCGTATAATCAAAATTTTAATGAAATTCCGTAAATCACAATTGTCAAACAAAAAAATACTTTTAAAACACTTACCTGATGACATAGTTGACACATACAACACTTTGGGGTTTCATAGTTTTGCTGTCGTTAATCAAGGTGGCCTGTGTAAGCACCCACACGTACCCTCCTGTTTTTGCCAGAAATCTGTAGCGGTTGGTCTCACACTGTCCCTTTGAAAACACTGAAACAAAAAAAATAATGATAAATATATAACCACTAAACATGAACTTCAATTTTTTTACTCAATCACTACTAACTTTAAAAAATCTTACTTATAAACTATTGAATATGTCAAAAATAATTTTAGGTCTACGCATAAACATACGAATACGATACAACACTCGGAAATGCTTGTTGGCAATTGAAAAACTCCACCTGGATAAACAGGATACGTTTTTCAAAAACATCTTTCAAGATTTACTATTACGTGAAGTTTTCAACACCTGTTTAAAATACACTTTTCGAAAACTGTAAAAGAACACTAGTTTGACCACTCAAAATCACGCATGTTTAATACGATTATTTGTGTGTTGATTGTCGTAGAAAGTACTGAAACCAAAAAAAAAATCAATATATGGCTCCCCTAGTGTCATAGACACAATTTGTTTTTTTTTTTAATTCATGCGACTTACTAATAATTCGCTTAACATTAAATTCTTACATATCCTGTTCAAAATGCATGAATACTGTTCTTTCCAAAATCCATCGAACCAAGTCTAATTAATTATATTGACAGCCTCATTAAATTCTAAATAATCACCCAAACACCCGACGCATAAAAAACTTTCAGTATACGAAAATCTTGATCAACAATTTTATGTGACACAACGACGCCGAAAGAACACTGCCCCCGGACAACAACTTTCGAAGAAAACTGCCAAGGAATTTATGTTTTACGACCATTTTATGACTAGAAATAAAACTCAAAAAATCCACCCACACAGACGAAGTTCAGAAATCAGTGTGACAATCGATAAATTCGCCCCTGTTTTACCGTCAGCAGCTTTTGTAAAAGGGTCAGTGATCTAAAATGTTCCGAGATATTCTCTCTGATAGACACTTTTACGACAGACGAAAATGAGATGGCGAAAAGTGAAAAGTGCGATTGCGGTTTGACGTGAAATTACGGCCCTAAAATTTTTTGTTGAATTGCAAGTAACCTTCTTTACAGCTTCGCCACTTCGTTACAGGGCGCTAAATGTGACGCTTCATAATCAAATATCAAGCCATCCTCGAGATTTCGCTTGTTTTCGCAATATTATTTCATATATCAAGTGTTATACCTCTGGGTTTTCCCGAGACGAAGTCGCATTTTACCCGAGTGACGTAAGCTGAAAGGACAAAGGACTATTTTCAGGAGATTCACCCCGGATTACTACAAACTCATCCTCGACCCAAGACAATTTTCCAGTGTAAGGATTACAAGCAATTCAGCAGCATCTTGATTCTCGACTTCAAAGTAATTTCAGTGTGTCGCCGCTGGGTTTTCTATAGGGTTTAAATCTGTAACTGAATTTTGGGAATTCAGAAAATATTTGAACTTCTTATTTGAATCACGCTCCCTTTTATTACCCACGCATTGAAGCGCGCTCGACGTATCACCGTGGTACACATGCATACAAAGCAGGACCATAGGACTCGACGGAAAAATAAATCCGAATTTTATTTTCACTACATTGTGCAGCAAAACTTGGCTTGGGAATTTAAAAAAATTACTATACACGATCACTAAAAAATGCGTTTAAAGAATCTTAATCATAATAACAACAAATACTGAAAAATATTTAAGTCTAAATAGTACATCAACGTGCTAGATGTCGGTCTAGGACAATTCGGCGCGGCCGACTTGGCGCGGCCAACTTGGCGCGGCCGACTTGGCGCGAGACATTTTGGCGCAGGGACACTTTGGCGCAGGGACACTTTGGCGCAAGCCATCTTGGCGCGAATGAACTTGTACCAAGAAAAATAGATATAAATATACAAAAATTGCACCCGTTGTTAGCATAACCTAATTTTTATAGTCTCCAACGCGGGAAGGGGTAATGTCGACTTTTTAATGGACACACGGGCGCTTCGCGCCCTGCACCCCATTATAAACATACTCCTAAACGTGGAACTTCTTGTTCCGTGGATCATTTAGTTATTAGAATTTGTGGGAATTAAAATGTGTATTTGGTTGCCTACACTTAGCATAAATAACAGGGTGCCAACCAAAGTACGAGCAATAAATATTTTTTATATTATATACTGACGTACTCGCGCCAAGATGGCTCGCGCCAAGATGGCTTGCGCCAAAGTGTCCCTGCGCCAAGTTGGCTTTGCGCCAAAATGGCTCGCGCCAAGTCGGCCGCGCCAAGTTGGCCGCGCCAAGTCGGCCGCGCCAAATAGTCCCATTCCGGCTAGATGTTACCTCAACCCATACATTTCGGTCTTTCCCAACTGACGCAAAAGTATTTATTAAAGTTTATTAATTCCACCTAAGGAGTTACCAAAGTTTTAAAAGAGTTCTAAAGCTAAAATAAATAATAGTTTAAAAAACTAAAAAAACACGCTTTTATTGCTAATCGAACTAAAAACTAGAAAATAATTTTTAATGACAGAGTTTAATATTACAGTAGTAGAAGATCAAACAATCAATCATAATAAATCACCTCAAATTAAAATTATAATAAAATTTAAGTTATTAACAGAATAATTCAATTCAGAGTAAAAAGCGTGGGGTGCTTGATATTTTAAATATTACAATCATTCTATTGGCAACTATCTATGAGAGGATAGTTATGAACCGCAGTAAAATGCACCCCACGCTTTTTACTCTCAATTGAATTATTCTGTTAATAACTTAAATTTTATTATAATTTTAATTTGAGGTGATTTATTATGATTGATTGTTTGATCTTCTACTACTGTAATATTAAACTCTGTCATTAAAAATTATTTTCTAGTTTTTAGTTCGATTAGCAATAAAAGCGTGTTTTTTTAGTTTTTTAAACTATTATTTATTTTTCATTTTTTAGTCTGCGACAAATTCATAAATTGGGGAATTAATTACTTATTTAGATTTTTCTAGAAAGAACCACTCAGAGGTCTCCGTAGGATCGAGGATCCTGGCGGTCCTAATAAGGATAATGGGAAACTGTTATCAAATTATTGCATTGTCATCGATCCTTGAGACGTGTGCAAAGTTTCAAGATGATCAGACTTTTAGAAACCGATGAAAATTAAGCTCAAAGATTCCGTTACATACATACATACAACCCAAGCTAATAAAAGCGTGATAATTAGGGGCGGATTACTAAGTCACAGGTGCAGAAACATGTCATTCTACATATTTCAAGTAAAATTTGCCCAACGAAATTTTCAGAAAACAAATATCGACAGTTTCGTATTCAACAAACTGTGAAACATCGAGAAAACAATTATTATGACTATAGAGGAGTAAAAATACTGTAATAGCATAAATTTACTGGTGGCAATAACCATTAAAATGAATGTCCGTATCAAATTAAAATTACTAACTTTTCGAGGAAAAAGTAATTTCGTTTTAGGTAAGATAATTTAATTATATCCTCACGGTAATTTGTAAAATATTGCGCATTCTGATGTACTGCCTGAAGAATACAGATTAAATATAACTAGTCTAAAACACGCAGACGACCTATTTATTGCCCAACGATGTTTATGCGCGAAGCTACTTTATCTTTAATTAAAATCTTTTCACTTAATCTCCGCGCAGGGAGTAATACACTTCAAAAAACGGCAACATCGTTCGACACACGAAAACTCCCGAGATAATGGAAATAGCAATTTTCAGCCTAATAGGCTAATTAAACTCCAGTAAAACCAGCATAAACCGTTTCAATAAAATAAACTACATAAAATACTAATTAACTGAAAATTTAAACTTAATATATAGGATATCTGGATATCTCGTAACTATTTCATTGTACGCTCAAGTAAAAATTAAGAAACATGAACTCTAACCCATAACAGTGTAATAACTGTTATTCTGGTCATATCCTTAGTAAAAATCTATTTTTGGACGCCATCTACCGAGTTTAAACTTATATGGCACCTTCAGTTTGTTTTAATTATTCCTAATCTGCTTCCTGCAAATAGTGAATAATTTAATTAAACAAACGAAGTTTACACTTCTGAAAATAAGTAGTTGCCTCAGTCCAAACAAAAGTTGAAACAAACACCCTTAAGAATGAATCAGACAGACTTCCAAGAATTTAATTTTGCCCATTTTAGTAAAATATTAATTAAAATCAAAGGAAAACGAAGCATACTACACACGCATCAACAAGTTTTCCTTAAATTTACAATTAAATAGCAACACCATTATAAGAAAAACAAAACAACATTTATTCACAAAACACTCGGAGCCAGAAAAGTAATGCTTCAAGGCAATGTGGACAGAACTTGCTTTGTGGCCGAATAATGCTTCTGGGGATAATAACAATGGCCAGCTAGAAAAGATAAAATGTCGGCACTTTACGATCATCTTTTAGAGCATAAGAGCAAAAACGAGCCAATAGAACCACGATAATCTCGACTAACCAAATAAAAAAATATTTATAGTTTGACCAAACGTAATTATGACACTTCTAGCCTACATGGCCTACAACCATGTCCCGTTATTACTAACTTTTCTCTCGCTTTCAACTTATGCAAGACATTGTTGAAAAGATTTACAAAAAATACATTTAGGGGTACATTTTTCAATGCGCACCCTGGAACCCTGAAAAGGAAAATGTGACTTTGTTAGAAGTAACCAAAGTCATTCTTTAAAAGCTATTTTATAATCACTGGCATAGCACAGTGGTAAATGAATAGAAAAGTAAGATTTATTTTTCAAGAAGTAACGCAATCTAGGAATATCGCCGTCAGAAATTTTCTACTATAGAATCTGCAATAATTTTGACATTTGGATATGATAACTTCGTAGCACTGATACATAATACAAAAAATACACAACAGAAAATACAACTAAAATAATAACAAAACTTAACCACACAATTTAACAAGTGTTGCTCCGAGATGGCGAAGTCGAAAAAAATTTGGACTAAAAACTCGGGAAAACCAATTCCTTCCCTCAATCGTAAAAATGACACAGCAATACTTAAGTTACCAAGAAATTACGATTAAGAAAAAATTTCCGCTTTATATGCAAATGGAAAGTACTCTGGAATGACTTAACGTCTACGAAAGGGAAACATGGTAATTTGCATTTTTACTACCCTATATGATATGCATCAAAGAGTGGCCCATAAGATGCATCATTTTATAGGAAAATGAAAGCTAACAGCATTTACGTGAAACCAATGTTCCAGTGTAAAAACATTTTGAGAAATTATACACAATACGCTAGGCAACAACAATCGGTGCATTTTCATTTGCAACGTTAATAAACTCGTCAGAGATAAAACTAAATCTGTAATAACGTAATATTCTCTTATCATAATTTAAACAATGCGTAATAATCTCTGCAAGCAATAATTTAAAATAAATTTACTTTAGAAAGTAAGGCAGGGGGAAATTTTGTCGATGAAGTTTCGGCAATTTCGAACAAAGTGAGATAAATAAAATTTATCCCATTATTGCTCAACACGAAGAACGGAGAACCGCTCCGTTCTTTCTAGAATTTATCATAATATCGTAATATCATGAAACATACATTGTGAAATTAAATCTAAAGAAGATTAACGGCGGGAATGTAGCCAGTTCTTGCATTACATACATTATAAACATAATTTAATTTATCTATCTATTGAAAAATGTAACAGTTTTCCTTTCGAATATCATTTATTGGTTAGAAACGCATGTATAACTTAGCTTTAAACTGTTACTTTAAAATTGAGTGTCGAATTAACAAACAAAAACCCCTACAACAGTTCTTGAAACAGTTGAAACAGCGACCTAACAATTACGATACGCTGCATCATATTTGTATTAGATAATTGGTTTGAACAACCAAGAAAATAGAACATATCAAATCGTTCTTCTCCGAAAATATATTGTATTCAGTCTATCCAAGAAAACCCACTGATGCGTTTATGGTCACAATATTCAGTGCTGTGAAATACATCTCATCATGATTTATCTAATTTAAAATTTGTAGCGATGGTGATAGACTAGAAGTTTCAAGCCAAACAATAAGTTCCTGTTCCACAAAGTTGGAAGGCAAAAATTTTAACGTACATTTTACATCACCGCCATCTAGAAACAACAAATAGTTAATAAAAAGGCGTGTCGCTTAAAGAACACAAGGGAAATAATGTATAAAATTCACAGAAAAGTTTCTCTCAGCCCTTGTAACCATGTTCTAATTTCTACGACCACTTTGTGTTAAAATAGCATCTTTGACTCACGCCCCAAACTGTAATACTCGTAAAATTTAGATGCAACATCAGGGTCGTTAAATAATGTATTAATTTACTTACATAAAAATTTTGATTTTTTAAAATTAACTTTGTGACTTGGCTTTGAACTTGAAATTACATACCTGAACTGAAAATAAAACTAACCAATGCGTAAACACAATAATTTCACATAAATTGGCTGATATTAAAAAAAAAAAAAAATCAGGTGATCAAACAAGCTCTAGTTGACAATTGTTTCCAACCAAAAATATGACAATGTTGACTGAACTAATTGTGTCACAAAGAAAATAAGGTATGTTTAACACCTTTTAAAGATTAACAAACAAGATAACTCTGTAGTATAAAGACGCGCAATAACTATTTTGTTAGAGAAAACAGATTAGCTCTTGAGCGCCATGAAGTTCCTTACGATTAATTTCCTTTTAGTGTTTGCATCTCTAGCAGTTGCTGAAGAAATTATTATAGGTAAACTCTGTGACTCCTATAACATAACAAATAATTCAACTGACATAAACCAGGTATAATAGTCTTTTTTTTAACTCTATGTTGATGCACAAAATGGTGCAAACTAGTAACATCGTCATTCACCAAAATTATACTTTCCAAATCTCGTTCGATGATTTGTACTAGATTACTGCTACTGTATTATTATAGCTTGGTATTAATACCGGTTTTTTATTTCAGTTAATAGGAACGTGGTACGAAATTGCAAAATATGGACCAAAAGAAGACTGCAGTACAGACGACATTTGTAAAATTAATGCAACACATTATAATGTAGTACATCAAAATGGTATCAATAGCAGCCACAATCATGCATACACCATTCGAAACGAAAATGGAACAATTAATTCGAATGCAACCACTTCAGCCATACAAATATTAAATATAGAAAATGGGACCGCTTATGCACTGTGGAGTTGTTTGAATATAACTAACACCAGTGACTCGACTCGTAAGTAATAGTTAACGAAAATATCGACACTCTTCATTAATAACTAACATTTCAGAATCGTTGATAATTCTATCCACCAACACAAACTACACAGGATACAAGACTGTTTTAGCTAATATGGGATTTGATAACACCACTTCAATTAATCATTCACCAGAAATCTGTAACGTAACCTCGTATGGTACTTTGAACTTAGCATCACTTTGTATTGTAACACTAATATTTTTCGTTATTCAAATAATGTAATACAATAATTCAACTTATTTTATCTGTATGAAAATCAGTAGCAATATATCTTAAATTTATTCTAATATTTATTAGAGCAGTCCGAATACATAATCAACTGTTTCATACAGTTACAAAAAGAAAATTTAACGTTCATTGTCTCCAAAACAACATTTATTATTATCACATATGGTACTTCGAAAATAAAAATGAACGACTTGCCAAGAATTTGGCACATGTAGAACATCCAGTTTACTACTAGAAGCATTCGTTTCTCACGTGATTAATGACCGATGAAAAAAGTTATTATGCAATTTGAAAAAATACACCTGTGTTTTCAAATATTTAAATGATTCAATTGGAATGTTATTTAAAATCACACAACTAGATCATTCGACAGAAATCAAGCAGTACTATAATTTACACATATTATAGTATAGTATGTTTCACGACTGTACATAAATATTTTATGTGAAAATTTACACATCTTCTTTTCTTTAATCTTCCCAGAATTTTTGAAAAATCTGTACGTCATTTCTTTGAGATACAATTTCGAAGTATCAACAATAATACTACAGGTAAGTACGAAATGAACTTATCAATGAATACTTACTCCCTAACTAAGTCAAAATTGGAGAAAACTCAACTAAAAGATAGGGTCAGTTTTATTCAATTTTTATAGTTTGGATAATTCCAAAAAATATTTTAACAATTAATACACTAAAATTCTAAGGAAAATACATGGAAAATTTAACTATACAGACGAAAATCAACCAAAAATCCAAGTATTTGGCAACATTCTAAAGTTTCTTGTTGACCTTCTGGTTTAATAAAAATGATACCCATGTTTATATTTACATGGTAAAAATCGAGGAAAGCTTCCTCGATAATTATTGATACTATTCAACAGCATTAAATATGCTTGTGCACATGGAACACAAGAGAAATAAAGACACTTTATGCTGGAGGTGCAAATCACTTGGTTGTTTTGTCCACAATTAAGCGTGGTTAACAATTAATAGTAATTGTATGATACAACCAACCGTAAATAACAAATTGTTATTTCAGTTAATTACACTTAGTTCCGATTAGTTATGTAACTCTAGCCAGGTAAAATAAACTATAATTAATCACCAAATAATAATGAAGCATTTAGTACCTAACACAGTAGCGCCCGGTTATAAAAGGTGTATTGAATAATTTAATTCGAACTAAACGTTTAATTACGATTAACGCGTGAAACTTAAAATCTAATCGGTTTAATTTAGCTACATGATCAATTAATAAACACAATAAAGTGGCTCTTGGTGCTAATTAACTACGTGATTATGATCGGTTACTCTTTCTTGATTATAGGTAACTATGTTAAATACAAGTGGTCCCTGAAGAATTAACCATGATTGATTTTTGATTAATTTATTCCACTTCTACTTATAGTTCATTATTTATGGGGGGAAATATTCATTCCACTCAAAATACACACTTCATAGCGTACCCAACAATTTTTGATGCGTTAAACAATTTTTAATCAATGTGTTTTGCAAAAAAAAATAATCGTCAACATTGACGTTTTTCCCAAAATGTTTTCTTAAAATTTCACATTACTGTTAACCCAAAATTTTTTGTTTAATCAACATCACATTTAGTTTGTTTTTATTATGTTGCATATTTAGTCCACGCCCCTCGAAAATGAACTTATGATGAAATTAATTCTCAATTATGACTTTCTAAAAACTGCAGGATGTGGTTTATATTATAAGACCACTAAAATAATACCTATGTTATCCACGAATTTATCTCAAACACAAAATTTAGGCTACTTAAAAGTCCATTGATTTATTCTACAGATAAATACCCCATTTATCATTATTAGGTTCTCAATGTACTATTTCGCACTTTTCCATTCATATGTTTTCAGTTATTGCAAACTATTCTAACACAACTTGTTGCAGCAGACTTGATAAAACTAAGGAGGCAAGTTTGAGTCATCCGCAGAATACCTAGTATCCAACTTTCTAATGACAACAAAGATGATGACAAAATTGAAAAGAAGAAAACATGTTTCGTCTTTTCGAGAACTTCTTTCGTTGAACAAATAAAAATACAACCCATATCTCTTTTTTTTTTCCTGCTTTTAAAGACTGATCTGTTACCGTAGTCATCCCTTAAATACTGCTATTACTCACGAAAGAACATTTTGATTATTAAATTACTATCGGGTACACTTTGATTGCAAGATTTCAACAAAATCCAGATTATATAAGGTGACTGCATAAAATGATATATGACAGCAAGAATTTCCTTTTACATTCTTGGTACACAAATTACTACATTAATTAACAATTAAATGCAGCTCAGAATCGGCTACACTTTTTGCATTTAATTAAATTGTCACCGTAACAAAGCACACAAAAAATGATGATCAACAAAGCTCCGTTATAATTGTATTGTGTGTTGTATAATTTAACGTCGTCGAGAGCTTGTAACTGGACAATGAACGAACGCTGGCCCACTGTCTGCTGTACTTTTAATCAACAAATCACGTGCAATGTGGTGAAATATCTAGACTGTTACTGATCAGGTTTATTTACATTTAAAACTTGAAATATTAATTCGAGCTGCATTGTCCTGAACAAAATATCTAAGAAAATAGTACATGATTTTAAAACAACTTCGTAATTTCAAATAAAACAAAAAATACTGAATAATTTATACATACAGTATTAAGTGCAGAAAATAATTACGTATGGTGTAATTCATAAATTCTTAAATATGCATTTTGAAACTTAATGCCACATAAAATAAAAATGTTAACCTCATAACGATAGGATTTTTTCTGTTTACATGCAAAAATAGACAAGACGTTTTATGTAGTACAAAGTTCAAACAAAAATCAACTTCTTTATTTGTCTGCACTTATTATAACAGAACATTCTTATTTTGTTTGAGTAATAAAACATGGAGAACGGATATTTTTAGACAATAATTTACTTACCTACCAATAAACAATTGTGACTTAAATACATATAATTATGCATACTATTTTAAGACAGCACCTAATTCCACACTCATTACAAGCCATTTATAACAATTTAAATCTCTACAAATCAATTTTACGCGTACTCAATTATTTGTGATAAAACATCGGCGTGTGAAATTGAATGCAAATAGATCGATTTAAACTGAGTTTGAAAATTGGGAAAGTCCGAATTTGTTTTAATACTCGTGATTATGTGGCTAAATAAATTAATAGAGTTATCACCTACGTGTTTAATAGATTATATAAACAACAGTTTCAAATTAAACATTCCAGTTTTTTAAATAGTTATAGAGTGAATCTTAAATTTAAAACCTACAGAAAACAACTCAATTAGTTGTTCTACACGGTAATATGTTTGTTTTTATGTAAAATTAAATTGCACCGTTAATAATTTTTGAAGTAAATACAAACAAAATTTTAACTTAATTACTATAAAATAATAGTAAAAAATACTTACAGCATTTAAAAGCTGAACAAATAGAGTCGCTATCCATAGCATGATGGTATTCATAGACTGACTTGCCTACCAAATCCTCTGCATCATAGCCCAGAACATCCATCATTCTGTAAAGAAAAATATTAAAACAATATTACTTGCTAAAATCACGAATACGAACATTTTGTCATCTGCATGTGTAAATTTCATATCTAGACTGTGTTTTGTCAAAAAAGTTTGTCGTGGTAATGGAGCCTCGATATTGGAAGGATGAGGTATAGGCTGTCCAATAGCAATAAGACATCGTCGCAAACTTCCTTTAGAGCCTTCTTCTGTTGTGTCATCTTCGCTTTGTACTATATGTCCAGTACAGTGAATGACCTAAAGGTTATAAATTAAAAACGCTAAACAAACACACAATAAATAAATAACCTTATAAGTTGCTGATTTAAGGTTAACTGATCTGCCTTTACTTGTAAGAGTACACTTAAGCCTGATAAAAAACGACTTTGGCGTTTCTGATTCTTCCCGGGTTTTTGTTGAAAGGATTTCTTTTATTTCATCATGGTCACACGGATGGCTGTATTCATAGATGTTTTGACCCATCAAATCAATCTTTAAAAAAATACATATAATTTTGTTAAAAATGTAAAACAAAAAAGTATTTTACTTGTGTAATTCCTAGATAGTCGCTGACGTTCTCAGACATGTACACAATGTCGCCTTCCGAAGACATCACAACCAAAAAACCCTCTATCGATTTCAAGAAAATTGATTCATCTGTTAAAATCTTGTGGTCGTCCGGTTCTGGGGGTTCCGGTACTGAAATATTTGTGTCAAGTTAGCGCGAATTGCATATGGGGAAAAACATTTTACCTAAAGTGATCATGTCTCTGACCCGAAGATATGCAATTGCTAATCTCATAACGGAAGCTTTATCGAGTTGTGAGACCTGTTCCTGTGATACGGGTAAAGCGCTAGCCAAGTCAGTAAAGACCTCTGTTTCTTTAGACCTGCGGGAACGGGCCGCATCACGCGACTTTTCCTTTCTCTTTTCATTGTTCCTGCAAAAAAAATATCTTATTAAAACAGTGGAATAATGCAAGGTTACTAAATTTATCAAAGTACGTATTATGAAAATATTGCAATGCGTTGAATTTTGCATACGCTACCTACATTTTTCTCCTCGATGTAATTCGAGTAAGTGCAAACTTTTCTCGAGTTAAATACTGACTTAAATAATGAGATGACTGAATGTATATAGCGATTCGTGGGAACTTCAGCAGAAAACATATGACAAACCTCGTGTCTGGAGAGTTTCCAAAAAAAGTAATAGTAAAATCAGAGATCACGTTATATCACATGCTTTTATACACAATAAATATAAATCTAGCATTACTAATAAAATTTAGTACTTCCTGATGTGTGTTTCAAATAACATTAATCACAGCTTAAAACTTTATGTAATTTTAATCCAGAACACTATTTTCGTAATTATTCATCGTCAGTAATCATTCCACAGGAACATGAAAAGAATGGAATTGCACATTCTCATCACTGACTTTATTTTACAACCAATTGCAATAATTCTGACTTCATGACTTAAAGTGCTTTTGCCATTTATAGACAGACACACGTCAATGACCAACACCGAATCTTCACCAAAGCACATTTCACATAGAATTATGCAAAAATTTGAACTCATTTAAACGTAAAATTATAAAAATTAATTACTCAGTTTCGCACACTTACATGAAGTCTTCAATATCACCTAACTCAACAAACTGACATGTATTATAACATCCATCAGCATAATAACTGTAACATTCTTGATAATCCCATGTTGAAGACGCCTGACAAGGTAAAGCCATGCGTGCCAAAACGCTATTTGGTCTAATTCGACCACCTTGGTTAGAAACTGCTTTTTGAGATGCATTACTTAACCCAGGATCTTGACATGCACTCATGCTCTGATTATACTCCAAATAAGAACTAATTTCTGGATTTTGCCGAACCTTACGATAGTTAACCACAGCACCATTTTGTGGAAAAGTACTGCACTGCATCTCGATAAACGTACGATATTCTAGACCTTCAGTTCATATAAAACACAGTCACCATCGTATAGTAAACAATTAATGACACGTGGCCACTGGCATAAAAATGTAAATTGAAAATCTACATAGCGTAATGAATAGACGAATACTAAGACAGATTTTACTTTAGTTACGGTCTTGAAGCTTATCTAATCTTTTGCACTTGAAAACAGATCACGTTGTCTGATTTTACATAAAGAAGGCAGCACTTGGTCCGATCTAGACAGCAAAAATAACAGATTGACGAGGCCACTTGTAATTACTCAATGTACTCGTACAAATTAGTTATTTTTTAACTATGATAAAAATTGTTTTAACTATATTCACATTTAACATTTTAAATTACGTAATTATAATAAAAACAATTACTTTCAGGCAGATATATTTTATCAAAATACATTTGTAGTAACAATAATTTTTAATTCACCACGCATTGCTTTTAACAAAAAACAACGCAACATAATTTACCAACAATTTTGATAAAACATTTTTAAACACTTGTTCAAACTGCCACACTAAAGTATCACGTAAATTTTATAAAATTCTAAATATTATTGTTTCCCGATCTTACATGCATGAAAATTCCAGACTGTAATAATTATAACACAGAACAATTTTAGCTTCAAATCTCGTGACCGAGTGCTGCTGAAATGGATTCCTCAAAATAAAAACTCGTGTCTACCTAATGAGAAACTGCGAAGTTTTCCACGAATATTATAATTAAAAAACATGTTCCTATTAAACAAGATACGTGCATTTTATAGCGTGCCAACATGGAACAAAAATGTTCCTTCAACATGCAAATTATCTGAATTATACGGCATCCATGTAATTATCTCAAAAGATTGATAAGCAATTCCGAGAAACGCAGAGACAACTTTCTGAATCGCTGCATTTCTGTCTGCGAATGTTTTAGAAACTAGGCCGAATAAGGCTTCTTACATTTGGTTCGTATTTAATACATACCTGAAATTATCTACAAAAGGGATATCAAAACTACCGGCACTCAATGTCAAAAAAAAAATTTCTGGAGAGCGAAAAAATTTTGCTATTTTAGTAGGCGATTAGATAAAAGCGGTAATAAGCGGGAACCAATGAAATATAATTTCCTTTTTTTTAAACCAATTTAGCCCATTGTTACTGATGATGAATGTGTGAGCGGCAATGAATAGCCAAATTCTGAAGATTTGCCTTCTTCATGATAATGTTAAGTTACACTTAAAACTTCAAAGTAATCAATGTGGTACTTTCTGAAATCAACTGCCAACAGAAGGACGGCAGACGATGATGTAGACCGACAGACACTGAAAGATGCAACCATCAGTTCCAAACTTAGCGAACTTAAAAACGTCTGAAAATTAAGTAAATCGGTCATCAAAATTACCTTACACAGTAAATCTCTTTTGTCATAAGGATTTTAAATATGCATTTAAACAAATAATCTAGCTCCTCCATTGTGTACAACAGTTATTTTTTACCTTTAAAATTTATTTATTCTATAATAATATAACAAACTTACTACAAAAAGCATGACTAATCATTTTGAATATATACATAGTATGTTTTATTATTACCGGTTGTGGCATAGGAAAACAAATGCCGCTAGTGGAACATGAAGATGAAAACTATTTAAATTACACTTATAAAATTCATCAAAAAATATGTGTGAGCCGAAACAATCGTAAATTGTGACCGTCGGCCGTCCTCGTTTCCTGTTCTGAGTTTTGGTTTCTTACAATAATGCGTTTGTATCAGTACAAAATCGAGTTTTCGACAGCAGAGAGCCGTACCTTACTACAGACATATCTTTATTTTAACTTATATGGGTTATTATTTTCTATACTCAAAAATGGATAATTTCTATGATTTTTTTAGCGCCCAAAAGTACCGAGAGAAAGAATAAAACATACAGTAGGTGGTGATATTTAAAAAAAGTAAGACACTCTGTATGCTAGAACTCAATTTTATTGATACTACAACAAAACAGACGTCTTTGTTTGTCTATCCCTAACATATTTCAATATAAATATTAAAAATAAGCGTATTCCTATTTTTTATAAATCTCTTCACTGTTGAAAAATTTCAACAAAATTGAAATAACTTGCGAACGTCGCATTGAAATTTCAGAAATAAAATAAAATATGCTTGTAACACCTGAAAAAATCAATTGGTTACGAAAATACATAGGATATTCCATTAAAAAAAGTACGTTATATTTTGCGGTCCCACATAACCTTAATAAAGTTGAAAATAATTTTAATTTATTTTGTCAAAAGAGCCATATAACTGTCTTTGACTTTTTGCTACCACAGGCCTGCCCAATTTAAATGTTAAAAGACATCTTTTTTTATCAACTGTTTTGCACATTTGTTGTATTGCTAATTATGAATATGAACTTCATTTCTTGCTATCACGTAAGGTTTATTTGGAAAAAATACGAAAAACTAAAATTTAAGAAAAATTAGGTATTTATTTTGTATATGCATTTTTTACATATTAACAAAAATACTTTTATCCACTTATGAACAATCTTTGTGAAATCGTCGCTTCTCCTCAAAAGTTATGTTTAATCTTTTTCTCCTGAACTTTCTGTGACGCTATCCACTGTGACTTCATTCAATTTAATACCACTTCTTCATTGTACCGCTCCGAAATTGTCGGAATTGTGTTCACTACCTGGATGTTCCTTTACCGCGTTCTACCCTATCAATGCAGGTAAAAATTACTCTCCATTGGAAAATCCATTGTTGTGTGACGTCAATATGGAATATTTCAATTACGTAGATCTAAATGAACATGGGAATGAACTCCAAAGGTGCCATTTTCGAAGTAATATTACTCTATACCTGCCTAAAATGTACATACGTAAAGAACATGCTGAGTTCAATTAGCAAGCAAATTGTGTTAACCTTGTGTTTTATAGACTTAAATTTTCCTCAGTCTGATTTTAAATTTGTGTATATATAATCTACACGGAAGCTAATGGGCTGCTGTTTCCTCCTATGATGTGGGCACACAGTGAAAAATTTTGAGGAACAACAAACGGTTCCAAATCGTTCCACGCGAAATATAATGACTCATTTAGTTCTTGTCACCCTCATACACTGACCGGTAAAAAAAAACCGGCCACCCTGAAAAATTTCGCAAAACCAAACTTTGAAAATTATTAATTTAACTAGTAATCGTTATTTTATTAAAGAACCATTCACTATTGACAAATGATGTATAAATTAGCAAAAAAAAGAAGACAAATAAACGCAGAATTAAATTAAATTTAACAAAATAACAGAAACAGAGCGACAATTTGAGGGACATCTGTAAGAGTTAACGGCATTATTTTCACGGGAAAACGTTTATTAACTGCCAATCTTATAATCAAATGATGAAAAACACTGTTTACAAAAACAGCCTCCTTTATTGTTTTATTTAAGAAAATATCGTACTTGGTCTGTTTTTCTTATTTTGTTAAATTTAATTTAATTATGCGTTTATATGTCTTCTTTTTTGCTAATTTGTACAACATGTATCAATAGTGAATGGCACTTTCAAACAATAACGATCACTGTTTAAATTAATAATTTTTAAAGTGGTTTTGCGAAATTTTTCAGGGTGGCTGTTTTTTTTTTGCCGGTCAGTGCATTTATGCCTTTTCGAAGTATTAGAAGAATTAGGTTTTTACATAAAAATTTGAATGTTTTTAATGAAGAAAAACACCATATAGAGATTTTATGAAAAAAAAAACCGTCCAACAAAATTTTACCTTTAATTGCACTAAAAAGTGCGCAATTCGGATTTTTTGAGCTCGAAAACTTAGGTAGCGGGCGCAACTTGGATACGTTCTTTGAGTTTCTCAATCATCTGACGGTCACTACGTAATACACTTCAAATACATATATTATTCCATTTCAAAATGCTGAAAGCCTACAATCGTATTATTTTCAACGTGATAACATTACATAAAATTTTTTATTCTCATTTTTTTTAACTGCATCTGGTGGACTTTTTTTTTATCGGATTCATCTGTTCATTTTCAGTGCAATTAAAGAAATATTGTTAAACGCACGCTTTTTGGATCATCTCTATATACATAATTATATAGAGAGTATCTCATTTAGGACTGTCAACTGTCCCTTTAATTTTTATTTTTTTTTATCATGATATCTCCTTAAAATGCAGCATACCTATACATTACTTTTCATTACCAGGTACCGTATCTTCAATATAGAATAGGTCCCCCAATCCACAAAAACAAAATCAGTTGGCACAAAAACTCCTAACCATCTCAAGGTTTATTAAAATCCCATGATTAAAAATAACGAATTAAAACTTTTTGTCTTTTGACTGAAGTGTCTCACTGTAACTTATGTTTACTGAAGCGGTTGATAAGCAATCATTATTAAAATTAAATGCTACTAGATCACTCAAGGTTATATAACTTTCGAAACGAATGTTTTATTGTTACAAAGTAAGGCGACTGAGATATTCAGTGTGTTTACGACGTTGGGTAATTAATTCTGAAAACGTCTGGAATAAAATTAATTTATTTTTAACGACCTGAAAATTTTCAAATTTTAAAAACATTAGTTAAAGAACTTAACATATCAGAATTCCATTAGCCCATTAATACGTCAGTCATCGATGGAATATACATTGCCGTATGTTTCTCCGAACTTTCTACAATTTCGTTGCTTGAAGAGTAATGACGTCGACCGAAACCCACAAGGCAACACATTCTGTTATTGCAGTCACAGGTCTACTTGTCTTGCCATTCTCATCCGACCACAATTGACGCCATGCACACGTCGACAAAACACCGGATGCGGAAAAATGCAAATCAACCTTGCTAATTCATGGAAATAAATTACGGGAATTAAAATAAGTAGCATACCTAACTGCATTCAACTTTATGGAAGGAACACCAAAAAGTGCATTCACATTATGGTTTTTTTCCCTATAAAAATGCTCCAGGTTCTGAAATTACTGGCCTGTAAGTAACACTTCGATGTCGAAGAGTTCAAGTTTTCGATCTTGCTTTTCCGAGAATTTATCCCTGACAGCTTATTTTCAATCCGTGCATAAAATTCTTTGTATTGATAAATGCA